ATGAAAGTGCATCGAATAAGGTAACATTCGGCCTTTTAGACTTGAAACTGAATTTTTAAAATACGAATGACTCGAAAAATTCGTGTTTTCAAAAGAGAATTTTTTTTAGTAAAATCAAATTTTCTCAGCCTTGTTGAAAGTGCCAAAATACTTATTCACATCACCTTGTAGAGCAGACAATTCTCTACAAACTTGGCAAAGAAGTCCTGTTTCAAAACCCCTGCAACAGGATGAAAAATGCGCTATAAGCATTTTTTTTTATAGGCGTACGATAAGAACAACTATACCATCATTCACCACGAATTTTACTTTAAAAGGAAAAAAACATTATTTTTCTAACAAATCGAGGTCGCTGATCACGATACAAGTGTTTTAGACACGTTTACGTCCAGCTTTTTTTTACTTTCTTTCTCTCTCTCTTCCATAAAGACGGAGACAACAACACAGTGATTTTTCTAAGATAAAAGTGATAAGTTTGTCCATATTGTTTGTGGTGTTTGTGATGAGAGCACGGTATATTCTTGTATTGTAAAAAGTAAGTCATCGTCTTCGTATAATATGGCAACGGCGGCTTTGCATCGTATGTGTGTCGCTGATGATCATGAAATTATCACCACTCTTGGTGGAAAAGCAGTAGCTTTTTCAGATTTAATTAATAAAAAAGTAAACAGAATTCTTTTTCCTGACAGCGAATCAGAAGCGGAGGCTGTGCTTCATCGAAGCGACATTATTATCAGTTCTAAAATAAATTATCAAGATTTGTTCGTATGCCAGCCGCACTACCATCGTCTTATTAAAAAATTCAATCCTAATAAATACAAAAAATGCTATACATGTATTCCATGTTCTAAGAATTCATTGAATCCAAAGGCTGCAGGAACACCACATACGACACTCATACCGAAAGTCAAAGCAACTAAAAATTAATCTCAGCAAAATTAGTTTACGTCTGGCTTTATTAGTTCAAAGTGATTATCCAGAAGTAAAAAATTCTTATGGAGAGTGGATATGTACACATTGTCGACATCGTTGGCAGGGTGCAATCCCTAATGCGGGTGATGATGATGATGTATTTGTCCCAAGATCAACAGAAGCGACAGAAGAACAGCAAAGTGGAAAAGATAAACGAGAAACTTTGATTAAATTTCTGAGAATGTGTGGTTCGAAGAAAGAACCATGGGTAACAAAAGACTATAGTCGATTTGGTAGACAAGTTAAAAAGAATTTTTTATCTAACTCTCGATCAATAATCAAAACTGTCACATCTTATATTGCTCCTAACGATACTGATGAAGTTATTCATGATATATTTCATACTAAAAAGGATACGACAAACTGTAAATTAGACAAACAATTTATTAGTGTAATGGAAGCTATAAGTGACGCATATAATAACGCTGAAAAATGGACGACACGTCGTGAGATTTTATCTGTCGTCGCACCTAAAATAAACTACAAACTAGTACAGCCATTCATACCAGGAATTACAAAGTATCGTTCTTCTGCAGTCAGACGACACGCACTTGAATTTGGTACAGGTAAACATATTGAATCGACACCTGTTTTACGACAACGATTTGAAGATTATCAAGTCGAACATTTCATCGACTTTATTTTATCACCGCACATATGTACAGATATGCCGTTTGGCGAACAATGTTTGAAGGTATCAGACGGTACTGAACTGTTGGTACCAAATACAATTAGAAATTTAATACCTTCACGTATTATTGATCAATATTATTCTTATATATTAGAAAATTCACCTGGTTTCTCACCGCTTGGTCGTACCAGTTTATTGTCTCTTCTGAATGTGTGCAAGGCATCAACTATTTTGCAGCAAATGCATCTCTAGCTTTTGATGATCTGATTTCTCTAGTTAACGATTTAACAATGGATATAAATAATAAACGATCAATACTTGATAATATCAAACGTGCACGAATGTATTTAAAATCCGATTACAGAGTGCATGTTAGCAAATCATCAACAGTAGCAGATCATTGTGCTAATTTTGCACTATCTTGTCCAAAAGATAAAGATTATCAACAAAAGTGTGACCATAATCATGATGATATATGTGATGAGTGTCAAAATCTTTCCACAACTTTAGAAAGGATTGAAAATGAAATTAAAAGTAATATCGAAAATGAAGAATTCTTAGACAGAACGTTAGCCAAGTTAAATATATCTCGTGAAGCAATTACGGCTTTTAAAAGTCATCTTTTACGATCAGTTAACCAAGATCTTTCCAGGCAAGAATTGTTAGAAAATTTAGATGATGACAGTATTTATATTTTTATGGATTTTGCAATGAAATGGCTGTCGGAGCTTTTTATGGAATCACAGGAAAGCTTTTTCGGTAAACGTGGCCTCAGTTGGCACATAACTGTCATATGTGAAAATATTAGTGCTAACCCGCCACGACAAACATAAAAAAAGTCTTCGTCTGAAGATGATGATAGTGATAATTCATCAGAAAGTGAAGAAGAACATAATTTTTCAACAAAAATTTATTCTAATAAGGTAAAGAGAGCATAGATTACAGCTTAGTCTCTTTTTAGTCTTGAGAGATATTTGCGCTGTTTCATCGACGTTTTCTACAAGTTAATGACCCCGATCAGAGCATCTAGTTCGGCTGCACAACTCATGTCTTAGTTGTGTTACAAGGAAACTAACTAACTATAACATAGTGTGCTCACAGAGGACGCAATATACTCTCAGTGAAAGTCGTTAACTGCAAGTAAAGCGTAGCTCTGTTTTCTATTAAGGTATTTGTACATGTAATGGAGCATTGTACACAAGATAGTGAAGTTGTTACAGCAATATTGCATGACGTTTTAAAAAGAATAAAAGCAGAATCACCATCGACTCAACATGTATTTTTACGTAGCGCAGGTTGCTACCACTCAGCAGCTACAATTCTATCACTACAACAAGTATCAAAGGAAACAGGAATCAAAATTGAACGTATGGACTTCTCAGATCCACAGGCTGGAAAGTCTATTTGTGATAGATATGCTGCAATTATCAAGGCCAATGTAAGACGATGACTCAACGAAAAACATAACGTGACTAATACTAGGAAATTTGTAGAAGCATGTGAGTCATACAATGGTGTGAAAGGAGTACAAGCATTTGAATGTAAATTAATTAGTAATAAAGATAAACCAACATTCTCAATTCCTAAAATTTCTACTACGTACAATTTCGGTTTTGAAACAAATGGTATTCGTCTTCATCGCGCATGGAAAGTTGGTGCAGGAAAATTCATTTTATGGAAAGATTTAAAATGTGCAAATGTTATTAGTCATCTACAATGTGTGGATTCCGGTTCTAGGCCACATGTATTATCAACTATGACAAACACTGGTATTAAAAGTAAAGAATCGACCGCATCATATACTACTACAACCACAGCTGAGATTCGTCATGATATTAGTTCTACGTCTAGTAAATTGTATGAATGCCCGGAAGAAGGATGTGTTGCGTCATTCATCAAAAACGGTTATTTGATCAATCACATTACTAGTGGTAAACATCGAAGAAAAGTAGAACGTATATCTATGAAAGATCAAGGTATACATCTTTATCATTCAAAATTAGAAACAATCGGCGATAGGCGTATGATATCATTGATGTTAGAATCTACTTCTGCTACTAAATATCAAACCAATATTGTTATAGGCTTTGCCAAAAGAGCGTACCGTCACTCGTTTAAATCCTGCACAAACCCGTTATTTAACCAACAAATTTTTCGACGGTTTAAAAAACAAAATGCGGTGGAAGCCGAAGAAGTGGCTACCGAAATGCAACAAAAAAAAGGACTAAATGGAAAGTTTTATTTTACATCCAAGGAATTTCTAAAAGCAGGACAAATTAGGTCTTTTTTTTATCGGATGAAACAACTACAAGATAAACAACAATCCGCAGGTAAACCAATGTCGGACATACTATTATCACCACCGCCAATAATAGAAATTGACGAAGAAGACGATGAAGAGTTTGATGATGAACAGGTGTTCGTTGAGGTGGGACAAAGAGCTGACTTACGCGAGGCTATGGGATTGCCTTCGTCTCGTGCATCCCGTCAGCCTCCAGCACGAGAGCATACAATTCCACCAGACAAACGATTGGCTAAATCAACCCCTGACGTTAGTGCAAAACAACATTCTTCGAAGAAAACAAAGCAGTAATTTTAAAAGCTGAGTGGTTCATCTGAACGTAAATGTGTCTAAAACACTTGTATCGTGATCAGCGACCTAGATTTGCTAGAAAAATAATGTTTTTTCCTTTTAAAGTAAAGTTCGTGGTGAATGATGGTATAGTTGTTCTTATCGTACGCCTATAAAAAAAAATGCTTATAGTGCATTTTTCACCCTGTTGCAGGGGTTTTGAAACAGGACTTCTTTGCCAAGTTTGTAGAGAATTGTCTGCTCTACAAGGTGATGTGAATAACTATTTCGGCACTTTCAACGAAGCTGAGAAAATTTGATTTTACTAAAAAAAATTCTCTTTTGAAAACACGAATTTTTCGAGTCATTCGTATTTTAAAAATTCAGTTTCAAGTCTAAAAGGTCGAATGCTACCTTATTCGATGCAGTTTCATCTCCTCTTTCAAATGAGACGTAGCATGAAATTTTAGGACAAAAACTGAGGAAGAAAAATCAAAAATACTGGAAATGCGGCTTTTTGATGGTTTTTCGAAATGTACCTTTTTCAAAATTCTATAACTCAGCGGCAAATGGTTCTCGAACTTAAAAAATTTCTTCATAACCCCAGTTTTCAGCATAGAATCGAATGAGAACATAAAAAGTATATGTTAATTTTTTTCATGTTACGGCTATTTTGCTGTATGCTTGATGCTCTGGCGAAAGGTCTCTTAAGACGACTGAGACAAGCAAAATCGGTAATTTCAAAGAAGCGCCAGACGCGTCTGGCCATGACGATGACGCATTTAGACGCGTTTGACAAATTTTTCTGCAAAAACGCGTTGAGACGCGTCTATTTTAACAAAAATTCCATACGCGTCTAAGCGCATTCCGGTACGGCGCGTCTGGGACTTCTCTCGACAAAAGTGTGCGTTTTTTTAATAAAAAGTGCTAGACGCGCAAACGCATCCCGGTAGGACGCGTCTGAGAATTTTTTTCTGAAAGAATAGGGTTTAGACGCGTCTTTCCCAAAAGAAACGCGTTAAAACGCGCCTTTTCAGACGCAATGAATTTACATGGGATAGCCGTCACAGTTCTACTATTACCATGAAAAGTAATAAGTGTTCCTTTATATTCTATTAACGATCATAACAAACGACAGTAGCAGTATTTTAGCCAAGGAAATGATCTGTACGTGTGCAGTCGTCTTATGAAGGTGATACAGAAATCATTGACTGAAACTTTTTCCACTTTTCAAGATATATTTCCATATACAATGGCGCTGGCACAATAAAACATAAAAAGATATGGCAATCAGTGATATGATTGACAGAAAATATAGAGATAAATAGGCATACATTTTCCATTTATGCCTGATACATTTAACAGTCTTAAGAAGACTGAGAGAAGCAAAATCGGTAATTTCAAAGAAATCAATGGACTTATGACTAAATCTTTATCAATAAAAATTGTTTTTTCAATATTGTTCGATATGTATCATTTGGTAACGCATGTTGTTTACGTGAGAAATACACGAATAGAACAATTGCTGATACGAGATTAACCAGAAACGGAACAAAATTACTGAATATATCCAGTGTTCCTTCGTCTGTTTTCATCTGTTGTCTGACCATGACCATGACGCCTTTAGACGCGTCTTTTCCTCGTGCGCGTTTTTTTAATAAAATGTGCTAGACGCGCCCAACCGCATCCCGGTGGAATTGCTGAATATATAACAAAATTACTGAATGTTAGAAAGCTATAATATGCGGTTAAAAAGCTTTTTTAAAGGACTTTTTATGAAAAACCAAGAGTTTTGACATCCTTTTAGTAACAAAGTGTAAGTAAAAACAACTCTACAATCAACGGCTTTTTGAGGAGATCCGAATCGGGTAGTTTCTGACGATTGCATAATAAAGGAAACTAAATATTCGGCTGAAACCCCTTTTTGTAATAACCGAAAACGTTTGTCGTTACCTTCGGAATAATGTGCCGCTAGAA